CATCATATCCCTTAAAGAGTGTGAAAGGCTTTGAACTGGAAGCAGAACACGTACGTTTTTGAATATTCAACCAGAGAGTGCTTTTTAATCCAATTCTTGGCTTTCAAGTGCATTTGTTCAGTTGAGGTTTAGCCTGCGAATAAAGCGAAGAGCGAGGATCGCAGGCTAGTTCCGGTTTTACTTTCTATTTAACGCTTCATCGCTCCGACCGCATAAGTTTATCATGCCCGGTAAATTTTATTGCAAGTTGTGGTTCGACTAGTGCATGGCTGGTAGTAGTACATTATTGAATGTACCGCGCAATGTGCGTGTTTGGAGCAAAAGTAAAATTGACTTTCTATATCCTGATGTTGGAAGGGAGTTTAAAATGCACTGATGACTTTTTATGATAAAGAATTTTACCATTTAAGTTCAAGAGTTGTCGGCCGTGTACCCCTGCACGATGCTGCTCGTGGCACAGTAAGTGGGATTCCCATGAAAGCCAAGGTTTTTTGAGAACACACCTGTCGAGAAGGGATTGAGCTGAAATCCCTGGTGACAATATTTTACATGGTAGCACAAACGCATCGGCTGTGTTTTGCCTCAAGAAGAGTCAGTACATGTAAATCAGTTAAGTTCTTGTTAGTGTGAAAACGCCTTCTTAAAAAGGGAGGAACAGGCTTCACTCAGTGCAGAATGTTTACACCATCCTTATTTCCTTTGCATAGTGAAGTTAAAGCTGCGCTCTTAACGCTGTCATTACAATAGTACATTTAACGCATCTGTATCGTTGTTGGTCAGACAGGAACAAGAAATGCGAGCTTTATCGTTCAGTATCTGGTTGGACCTTGCAGCGCCTGTTTGTTCCCACGCTTTTTCTAAAATAATCCGAATAAAACAAAGGAAAGAAAACGAAAGCGGAATTTTTTAATTGTATAATCAAACTAGTCAGTGGTGACTGGCTAAACGTGTTCTTCAGTGTTGTGAACACATCTTAATGGAAAGCGTGTTTTAAATGTCAGCTTTTTAATGTATTCATTGCGGAAAATGTACTTTTTCAACTCATTCTTTCTACAAACAATTGGATTTGCAATTCCAAACAACTACAGAAAGATCCCCTGCGTGGCAAACTACTTTCATGGCAAATAATTTTTTAAATAAAAATTATTTCACATTCCAGTTGCTAGATATGATAATTATTTCATTTCAAACTATTTTAGAAGTACTACAGATAATTCCGAAACAATACCTCGAGTTCCGCATGAAACCGCATGACTGGTTTTTTTTTTTTTTTCTCAGAAATCACGTGATTACGCTTAATGGTACTCTGTAACGCCTGTGACGCCGCATGCCTCATTGCGTTACTTCTGTTTTTTGTGTGTGTGTGTGTAGCTAAAAGTTAAAAATTGTTTCATGTAGGGTACTTAGTGCAACAATGTATCACTCGCTGCCACTGTTTAATTTTAGAGGTTTATTTTTGTTTAGGTAATATATAATTTTTAACTCCCAGTTTAAACTAACCTTGCCCCACATCCCACTCCTTCTTCTTTATGTTAATATTTACTTCAAATGAACTTGTGCGCACTGTTGCAGACCGGTCATTTTCCGAGAAATCAATTGTAAAGGGAATTAATTTCTTCGAAACACAATATTGGTGCCACATTTCATTTCGGCCTTGCACTTTTGTCGCCAAAACTATCAGGTAAGTTTTTAGCTTTAGTTGCAGTCAGTTTACTCCAGTTTACTTTGAATATCTATAGGGGATCACCCAACTCCCCAGCTAAGTGATCGGACTTGCGCGCGGTTATCTTGCTTTATCGATAACTAATTTGTTGAAACATTGAGTACACGTATTGCGGTCCGCCTTTCCTTTTCCACAGTTGGCTTCACTTGGGGCTTGCCTGGGCTTAAACGTCTTTTAAATCAACATTGATATGGGTACCGACGGTAAATTTCAACCCATTGTAGAGAGAAAGTAGAAGAAGGTTTGCGCTTGTTCATCGTGTTAGATCGCAGTTGATCTACGCCTCAATGAGTGAATTGACTACTTGATGAGACAGACGGTTATGAAAGCTCCCTTTATTATTTTTTAAAGAAAAAAGCGAATACATAAACTTCAAACAAGGTTTGTAAAAGTTTAGTGTCTTTAATCGCTGTCGAGGTTTACAAGTATTACAATTGTTTTAGCACTGCACATGACGCTTCCGATGTAGCTCTTGTTCTCCCCATAAAAGGTGATACCCCTTTCGTTTTTTCTCATACACTGTCAACACTGATAATTTTTAGCGGCCAATAGTCGGTTAAGTAATAAGAAGTCGTGATTCTGGGCTTTTGCAGTCTGCGTTTTGCGATGTACATCATCTATTCAGTTCCGGTTTCACTTTTAAATGAACGCGTCATAGCTCCGCGAAAAACTCAAGCTCTCAATATTCAATCAATATATCTTCATTGACCCTTGCTTGACCGGAAGTTGAGAAGTTTACAATGCCGTTACAATACAGTTTTCACTACGAAATCACAGCAGCGACGATAGGATTATCACATTTTTTTGACACCTAGGTGGTTTAGAGACTTCTTTCACAAGAGTGAACCTCAGATTTTTGCTCTGAAAATTTAATCTGCAAAGCAGAGCAGTAGGCCAAAGAAAAATGGAAGTTCTAATGTCGCGATTAAAGAACCCCTCGCTCATAATCTAGCAGTGCAGGTTTTAACATCAAAATATAGGCACTCCTGGTTGGGTAGATTAGTAGGAGCTTATTTAAGACCGTGCTTTGCTTTCAGATCATCGCCGTGGTTTCGGTATATAATGTTTAATCAGAACAGAAGTTTTTTCTTACGTCATACGCCAGTGTCTCGTCACAATCAGTAAGAGTGACGCTAATGGCGGAAATTGCGCAGGTTTTCAAGATTGTGGTGAACAGTTTTCCTTCTAAAATGTGGGATTCAAAGGGTGTGGTGGGTAGAGCGAGTCGTTTGACCTTTCTCACGAGCTGACACTGGTTCCTTTTTAATCCCTGATCTTGCTAATTGTATAAATGTTTCTAAAACGAGCGGTTTCTTCTAGAAATGAAATCAGTGTGATTTGTCCACTGTTGGGCTCTACGTTTTTTTNTTCCTTTTCCACAGTTGGCTTCACTTGGGGCTTGCCTGGGCTTAAACGTCTTTTAAATCAACATTGATATGGGTACCGACGGTAAATTTCAACCCATTGTAGAGAGAAAGTAGAAGAAGGTTTGCGCTTGTTCATCGTGTTAGATCGCAGTTGATCTACGCCTCAATGAGTGAATTGACTACTTGATGAGACAGACGGTTATGAAAGCTCCCTTTATTATTTTTTAAAGAAAAAAGCGAATACATAAACTTCAAACAAGGTTTGTAAAAGTTTAGTGTCTTTAATCGCTGTCGAGGTTTACAAGTATTACAATTGTTTTAGCACTGCACATGACGCTTCCGATGTAGCTCTTGTTCTCCCCATAAAAGGTGATACCCCTTTCGTTTTTTCTCATACACTGTCAACACTGATAATTTTTAGCGGCCAATAGTCGGTTAAGTAATAAGAAGTCGTGATTCTGGGCTTTTGCAGTCTGCGTTTTGCGATGTACATCATCTATTCAGTTCCGGTTTCACTTTTAAATGAACGCGTCATAGCTCCGCGAAAAACTCAAGCTCTCAATATTCAATCAATATATCTTCATTGACCCTTGCTTGACCGGAAGTTGAGAAGTTTACAATGCCGTTACAATACAGTTTTCACTACGAAATCACAGCAGCGACGATAGGATTATCACATTTTTTTGACACCTAGGTGGTTTAGAGACTTCTTTCACAAGAGTGAACCTCAGATTTTTGCTCTGAAAATTTAATCTGCAAAGCAGAGCAGTAGGCCAAAGAAAAATGGAAGTTCTAATGTCGCGATTAAAGAACCCCTCGCTCATAATCTAGCAGTGCAGGTTTTAACATCAAAATATAGGCACTCCTGGTTGGGTAGATTAGTAGGAGCTTATTTAAGACCGTGCTTTGCTTTCAGATCATCGCCGTGGTTTCGGTATATAATGTTTAATCAGAACAGAAGTTTTTTCTTACGTCATACGCCAGTGTCTCGTCACAATCAGTAAGAGTGACGCTAATGGCGGAAATTGCGCAGGTTTTCAAGATTGTGGTGAACAGTTTTCCTTCTAAAATGTGGGATTCAAAGGGTGTGGTGGGTAGAGCGAGTCGTTTGACCTTTCTCACGAGCTGACACTGGTTCCTTTTTAATCCCTGATCTTGCTAATTGTATAAATGTTTCTAAAACGAGCGGTTTCTTCTAGAAATGAAATCAGTGTGATTTGTCCACTGTTGGGCTCTACGTTTTTTTAAGCGATTGCGAGATTGATCTTGAGTGGGCTTTTTTGTCTGGTTGGTTTAGAGCTCATTTCTAAGAGTGGTGTGAAAAAACTCATCAAATACAACACTGCAGCATTGCCCCTTCCTTCAAATTTCTCTAGTAGTTCACGGTCTTAAAGAATACTCAGTCCAGCGTAATTAGAACCGAGTTTGACAAGAAGTGACGCATAAAAAGAACAATTACGTTGCTATATCCAAACAAGTGCAAGTAAGAACGAGCGCGTTAAGAAATCTCCAACAGTTTTCTATTGTCTACTTGATAATTAGAAGGCAAGATCGAGATTTCGAATTTTTCGCGGATCAATCGATCCCTCTTTCAATTGTCTTATTTTTCTTTTAAGTTTGTGCAGTATGTTACGCTCCAAGAACTAAGAATTAGGAAGGACTTGAAAGTTATCGTTGCTGCCGCATTGGAATTTATCTAAAATCCGAGTAGCGAGGCAGTAACTCAAACCGCCAGACTGGGTCAAAAAGATCTTCATACTGAGGGGTTTTTGTGCTTGAAGAGGAGAGTACGAGGCGCGTAACCATGGAGACTTTAATGTGAGGATGGGCCTTTTGAAAACTTGAACCTCAAAAGTGGTTATGTTTAGAGTTTTATACAATGTTTCTAAACTTTTGCTCTCTCTTCAGACATGGAGTTGGAGTACTTCCCACCAGACCTCCCCGCCTGTGCGCGGAAGGACCTAGGCGAAGGAGGATTGATGTATCAATTTAAAAAAGACGAGCATGCGCAGTTGTTGTTGAAACACCTTGCGGTGATGCAAGCCAACGGAATATTGACAGACCTTACTGTACGCACCAAATCAAAAGATCATGAAGAACCGTTTCATTCCGTGCTTCTTGCCGCAAACAGTCCATTCATCAGACGCAGTCTTACAGGAAAACGTTTTGATTGCACGTCAGGAGTTATCCCACTTGACCTGACTCAACAGCAGCTTGAGGCCTTTCGCGATTTCGTGTATAAGTCCGAACTCCCCACAGACCAAGGAATGGTCAATGGCTTGCGACATTTTGCGTCGAGGTACGAGATGACTTACCTTGAAGAGCTGTGTCAAGAAAGAGAATTGGAACGTGAAGGCCATGAAAGAAAGACTGTTCTGTCTAAGCACCAGGAAGATGTGTTGTCTCAACTGCGTGACATGCGTGAGAAGAAGGAATTGACGACGACCTATTTGGAAGATTGCGACGGTAGCTTTGAGTTTGCAGTACACGGCCCACTTCTTGCAGCAGCGTCGCCAGTTTTTCAAGACATCTTCTCGGATGATCTGTTATCTCAAGAGGGCTCAAGGTATCGACTGAAGGACGTCACGTGCAATACTCTAGGAGACCTTATAAATTTCATTTACACGGGGGAAGTCACAGTGGAAGAAGAAAATGTGGTCGATTTACTTCATGCAGCATGCGATTACGAGATTCCCACACTTGCCAGGGCCTGCTGTGATTGGCTGGAAGTGCAGTTAAGCTCTTTCAATGCAATCGGCGTTTGGTTGCTCGCGCGGGAACAGCAAAGTGAATACATCAGTGATCTTGAAGAGATCGCTAAGAGCTATATCATTGCCAACTTCACCAGCGTGTGCAGAGAAGATGAATTCCTAGAGCTTGAGTACGAAGACCTTGAGGAAATCATTCGGAATGACTATCTGGGTGTGCAGAACGAAGAAGAGGTGTTCGCTGCAGTTGTCAACTGGATAAAGGCAGACGAAGGTCGCTCATCTTTCTTTTGCGATTTACTGAATCGCGTTCGTCTGGAGTACGCTAGCTTTGAATTTCTTTGTGACATGGAGAAAGATCCCCATGTCGCTACCTGCTCGCAGTGTCTACAAGTTGTTCAGAGGGCCCAAGCAAAGAAGATACAAGCCTCCAACCGTACCCCAGAAGGTACTCGATGGCATGATGATGATGAAGCTGATTTCAAGAGAAACCTGCTGTATGAATTTCTGGAGTCAACACGAGTTAATGATGATCATCTCAACCAAACGACTGACGAGACCCCACCTAGGGAACCAAGGAAGGATAAAGAAAAAGATATGCGCCTGAAACAGAACAGACATGGACAGCTCAACAAAGATGGGTCACCTGATATGCGTTTTAAAGTTAACAGGAGGCACTTAAATCAGCGGAATTTGGATAGTACGCCAGACAGGCGCCATAAAGGCAACAAAGAATCCAACCGCTTAACGCAGAAAGATGCTTATGTTACTACCGAGGGTCCACTGACAAAAAATGGCAAACCGGACATGCGTTTCAAGGTAAACAAAGAAGCTTATGGCCAGTCATCTTCCCAGAAGAGCACGAAAACCCCGCACGGTGAAAGCAAGCGAAAGGGTGTTCCTCTTAAAAAGGATGGAACACCAGACATGAGGTACACTGTAAACAAGACACCAGAATCTGTGAACAGTGCTTTACCAGGCAACGGAGCAACTCCACTGAAACGAGATGGTACACCTGACATGCGCTTTGCGGTCAACAAGCCAGCGAGAAAACCTGCATCACCCGCACAGACCAGTTGCTCTTCAGTTACGTCATCCTCTTGCGAAGGGCCAGTGAAGAAGGATGGGACACCAGACATGAGGTTTGCTTCCAACAAGCAATCGGCCTCCTTAATGTCCTCACTGCCATCGTACAGCAGTTCAAGTGGTGCACTTAAGAACGATGGCACACCAGATATGAGATACGCAGCAAACAAGTCATCCTATGATAGTCCATCGTCGTCAGGGTTTTGGTCTGGTGGTTCATCCTACGGCACTAGGTCATTGGCCAGTCTGGGATCTCCTGGTCCGCTAAAGAGCAACGGTACTCCAGACATGAGATATGCTGCAAACAGATCTTCATATTCGAGTCCATCCTCGTACAGTGGATCAAGCTACAGTATCAGTTCGTCTTCAAGTGGAAGTAGTTTTGGAGCGGGTCCACTGAAAAGTGATGGCACTCCAGACATGAGGTATGCTGCAAACAGATCTTCATATTCGAGTCCATCCTCGTACAGTGGATCAAGCTACAGTATCAGTTCGTCTTCAAGTGGAAGTAGTTTTGGAGCAGGTCCACTGAAAAGTGATGGCACTCCAGACATGAGGTATGCTGCAAACAGATCCTCCTATGGTAGTTCGTCCTCGTTTGGTGGATCAAGCTACAGCTCCAGATCGTCTTCTAGTGGAAGTAGTTTTGGTGGATCCAGTTCGTGTGGGCCACTGAAAAGTAATGGTACTCCTGACATGAGGTATGCTTCAAACAGGTCCTCTTATGGTGGGTCAAGCTACAGCTCCAGATCATCTTCTAGATCATCTTCTAGGAAGTAGTTTTGGTGGATCCCGTTCGTGTGGGCCACTGAAAAGTAATGGTACTCCTAACATGAGGTTTAAAGCCAATAGACGCTAGTATGTCAGTAATTAAATTGACAGTACCAAACCCCTTCACTTCTTGGTACAAGTTGTAGAGAACGTTCTGTTAATTCCATTCCATTCCAGAATGGACATAAACACTGTTACGTTTTCTTATTGTTTTTTTACTCATCATTATTTTCGCCTTTGTGTAAGTTAAGGTGGTGCTGTATATTTTTTCAAACCATTTTTAGCCTGGAGTCATTCTTGAGTTATGGAACGGAAACTGGCGTGGTGACAAACGCACTGTCAACTGAGTTCGATACGTAGTTCTGTTTTTAAAATGGTGCTGCGGTTGTTGTTTCGGGACATCTTGTAAACGAGAAGGTTTGAGTTTGTAAACATTATAAATGCACGGATAGAATCTAGTAAACTAGTTTCTCGCTGTAATTTCTGCAGTATGGTAAAAAGTTTCTTCTTTATAAAGCGGTTTCAAATAAGTTTCGTCGGAATTTCGTGATGATTGATTGACTAGAGAACCTCGGGCCACTATTCTGTTCAGTCAGTTGAGTCAATCATTCGCATCCAACCCGAAGGATATTTATCTCTCTTAGCGGCAGGTTTTTGGTTTTGCTTTGAGAGCTTGTTAATACGTACAGTGCTTCATGTGCGTCGTTAGCCAGAGGGATTTATTTGGTTTAGTTTTCAACGCTCACCTGAAAACAGCTGTATCATGCTTTAATGTTAGTCTTGTATTAACCGCAACAAACAAGGTCTTTTTGTTATCCCAAGTATGAATTTTTGGCGTACTTTTTTTATTTTTATTTTCATTACCCATTTTATCTTAGTGTTAAAGTTTTTGGCGTCATCAAGTAATAGTTCAGAAAACATTTGTTAGCAAGAGTTTGTCTCTTTTAATTTGTCTGTAGAAGTACGGTGTTAGTGCAAAAATCTTCCATTAATGTCGCTTAACCCTGTAGCCCCCAATATCGACACACAAATTCTCCAGACTTATCTCCATATATTTCCTTTTCTGCAAAACAAAGTCGAGAGAATTTGTTAAAAGATCAAACGTTTTACCCTTTGGTGATCATTTTATTAATTCTGAAAGCGACCTTTTGTGTTATTTATGTATTGATATTCTATGAAGAAACTTCATGTTGTTGAATGTCATGGTTGTTGTTATTGATGACCGTGTTATATGACAGCTTCGCAGTTTGTAGTAACGTCCATAGGCTAACACGACTTGAAAATAAAACGTGTTTATTCTTTTAATCCCAGACTGCTCCCAGGACAAACTACAAGTTTTCTATGTATTGACAAAGTTACCAAGCATTACATGGTCAACATTTACAGTATTTGAGAAAGTGTCTTGAAATTCAAGCTTAAAACGCGAAAACAACTCAGAGTAATCGCTATTTTGAGTGATTATAGTCTCATCATTAAGAAACCGGGTGGGTGACTTTTAAGTCAACCTGTACAGTTTGTTCTCGACTCTTTCAGGCACATTGAACAGTTTTTGTCTTTGGTGGCAAACTATTTTCTCTTTGTCACCAAATGTTTCATTTATCATAGTAAGTAAAGGCTCAAGTTTACTTGCTCAAAGAAGATAATTCATAGTTATTGAGAATATTTCTGTGTACGCAACAAAAATTTTCAAGTTGCGGGTATGATTTTTTTCTCAGGTGATAAAGTCACTCTTGTTGTCGAAGCTGTCTGTTAACCATGTTACCGCTGTACAAGCCATATCATTAACAAGGTATCCCAGTGTCACACGAGGCCCTGGTAGGTGGTTTGTCTCCGTTGCATTCTTTCTCTTCTACGGGTTCCTTTTCGTTGCGTTCTCCTTTCTTCACGCAAACCACTTCAATTTCTCGCTCGCCTTTACCACAGGTGACGGAACACTGCCATTAAACAAGAGAGAGGATGTCAATGTTAAGAAAGGTTTTAAACAACGTTTTGCCTCCAAAAAAGGAAAGAGGTTCATTTCGTGGCTTATTTTAAAATCATATATGTTATTGCCAAGAGTCGAGAAGTTTTGTCGAGACTTTTAGTGCGCATGATATTTCTGCCGACTTTATTTTCTTCCACTTGGTCAGAAGTATTTTTAGCTGATTTTGCAACAACTGATGCAAGATCGTGATACACAACTTCGTCACCAGGGTTTTTCCCTTATAGAATGTGAGGGGCTACTCCTATTTACTGAGGGAAAAGCCCCAGTGACGAGGTTGCGTGATACTAAATTCTTGACTTATACTTACTGAAGATGATTTCACGGTAACCCACTCAGCAGGGCAAGGATGATGTGCGCATGTCTCACGTCCTGCCGGTTTAGGTTCTGCACAGTGTAACTCCTCCACTTCAGTCTCTATACCATGCGACTCGTCAGTACAAATAACTTCCCGTGTCCTCTCTCCTGGGTGACCGTCATTGCAGGTTTTAGAACAGTCTGTCCATTCACCGGTTTTCCACCTAAAAGTATCCACCACAATAAGTGGCCTTCCCAACCAGCTTCAGGAGCAATTGAAAATAAAAAACAATATAATCAGAAGTATATATTCTTTTGGTAGATTTCAGTACCCACCTCGCTGGGCATTCATGAGTATTGCATATAACTGTCTCATCCCTAGGCCTCTCTCCGCCACAGAAGTGGTCGCTGACCATAGATTCGTCGTCATTGCGGACACAGGTACCTTTGATCAAAACGGTACCTACATGGGAAAGACAATATTATGAACCCAAAATTTTATGCCCAATGGCTTAAACCGCATAAGAAGAGACTAAGAAAACGAATTTGCTCCGAGGCGTAAGGAGATAAAATAAAAATGAAAGAATTATTGATCCTTGATCAAATCAAAGATTTGGAGCAATGTGTGAATAATATGTCAGTGAAACTGGTTTTTTCCTTGTTTAAAGTTTAGATAGCAATATCCACCGGAGAGGTCATTATCCAACAGATAAGTATATGTTAGGGAACGCAAATGCATCCAGTGGATAGAGCTTTAATCAGAGGATAGCTCTATCCGTATCTCGAACAACTGAGGCGTCAAAATATTAACTATCAGTTGAAACGCGGCACGAAAAGGTTGGTGCAACACAAGGCTCATGTTTACTGTGAAGAAGAAGAGAAGAAGAAGAAGAGACTAAGAAAACGAAAAGAGAGAAGAAGAGACTAAGAAAACGAATTTGCTCCGAGGCGTAAGGAGATAAAATAAAAATGAAAGAATTATTGATCCTTGATCAAATCAAAGATTTGGAGCAATGTGTGAATAATATGTCAGTGAAACTGGTTTTTTCCTTGTTTAAAGTTTAGATAGCAATATCCACCGGAGAGGTCATTATCCAACAGATAAGTATATGTTAGGGAACGCAAATGCATCCAGTGGATAGAGCTTTAATCAGAGGATAGCTCTATCCGTATCTCGAACAACTGAGGCGTCAAAATATTAACTATCAGTTGAAACGCGGCACGAAAAGGTTGGTGCAACACAAGGCTCATGTTTACTGTGAAGAAGAAGAGAAGAAGAAGAAGAGACTAAGAAAACGAAAAGAGAGAAGAAGAGACTAAGAAAACGAATTTGCTCCGAGGCGTAAGGAGATAAAATAAAAATGAAAGAATTATTGATCCTTGATCAAATCAAAGATTTGGAGCAATGTGTGAATAATATGTCAGTGAAACTGGTTTTTTCCTTGTTTAAAGTTTAGATAGCAATATCCACCGGAGAGGTTATTATCCAACAGATAAGTATATGTTAGGGAACGCAAATGCATCCAGTGGATAGAGCTTTAATCAGAGGATAGCTCTATCCGTATCTCGAACAACTGAGGCGTCAAAATATTAACTATCAGTTGAAACGCGGCACGAAAAGGTTGGTGCAACACAAGGCTCATGTTTACTGTGAAGAAGAAGAGAAGAAGAAGAAGAGACTAAGAAAACGAAAAGAGAGAAGAAGAGACTAAGAAAACGAATTTGCTCCGAGGCGTAAGGAGATAAAATAAAAATGAAAGAATTATTGATCCTTGATCAAATCAAAGATTTGGAGCAATGTGTGAATAATATGTCAGTGAAACTGGTTTTTTCCTTGTTTAAAGTTTAGATAGCAATATCCACCGGAGAGGTTATTATCCAACAGATAAGTATATGTTAGGGAACGCAAATGCATCCAGTGGATAGAGCTTTAATCAGAGGATAGCTCTATCCGTATCTCGAACAACTGAGGCGTCAAAATATTAACTATCAGTTGAAACGCGGCACGAAAAGGTTGGTGCAACACAAGGCTCATGTTTACTGTGTTTAAGAGGCATACCCGGCAGATATAACAGAGACAAGTCTTTCTGTATGAGCTTTCACTTGCAACCTTGCAACACAATTTAGGGGGACATTTGCCACAACGTCTTGTCCCCGGCAACTTAAGCCCTCGTGTCAACCTCATCCCCAGGGCTTACCCTTGGAAATTAGGAGGAGAGCGTTTCAGCCAACCTTAAGTCCTTGAGGACCTCTCATTAGAGAATTGAATGGCAGGGTGACTGAACTGTTCACTTACCTCCCCCGCAGCTCTCAGAACAACCCAGTGAACGCCGAGTCCAATTGAAAGTGGTGTGCTTATGTCCCAATCCGCGCACAAATCTTGTGTCTGCGACCTCTTCTGAGGGGTTGGGGACGAGGTAACGAATCCTGACTTGGTATTCTTCCTTCCACGACTGAACTAAATACTGCCGCAATAACATACAAACGTAAAGTTTAATTGTAGTTATACGGTCAATCAACTTTTTTCAAGACAGACACCTCTTTAGACGTACATCTTGGGGTTATAACGGAAGCTAAAAAAACACCCGATGGCAAAATCCAAGCCTTTAAAATCCTGCTGCATTGCAAATAGGACAAAACCTACTACTCCTACTGTTTTTCTGAATGTATATTTTAAATTTAACATCCATGCACTATGGACGATCTCTCGGACGGATGTTTGACGCATATTTTTTCTCCTATCTTTATTTCTTCTCAACATACCATCAACTCCACATTCTCGGTCAGCGGTCCTTGAGCAGTAATCTTTTCTTTCTTCAAGGCATCACGAGTGTATTTGAATCTTGTTCCAGCACCCACGAAATTATAGGCTCGTGCCTTAATGCGGAAATCCATGTTGAGCAAGTCTGTTCCTTTTGCTGTCATCATTGCTGTTGGTGCAGCATAATATAACGATAATTAACCGTCAGTAACTTTGGTAAATAATGCTGGCCACCTCATTCGATGGCCTAACGTTTATTTCCTTTTGTTCATTTGGTATCTTATTCTAGCTTATAATAATAATAATAATAATAATAATAATAATAATAATAATAATAATAATAATAATAATAATAATAATAATAATAATAATAATTTAAACATATTTATAAGGATTGCTGCTTCAGTTTTAGGAAAAAAAACTGCTATCAATGCAGGTCCTGTAGACCAGTTGTTCGAAATAAATGTACTTGAAGTTAGTCTCTACAAAGATTAAAAAAGAAAACGTTGTGGAGCTTCTTCAATATATTTTTTTTTCCATAGCTGTGAAAACCATAGTACTTAACCTTTTTTGGAATTGCATTTTTCACTTTTTGGGGGGATTCACATATATTCCTGAAATGTTATTTACTAATATCCTATTTTTTTCTTTTTCCAAAAAATTCGAAAAATGTGTGTTCTTTTGTGGCCCTTTCTTACCAATCAGAATCACTGAAAGTCCGACCCTACTATAACCGTGCTCGCTCGGTGTTCTGATTGGCCAGTTGGATTGTCTGGGTCCGTTATGCTTAGTTGGAGTAAACAATTCCGTTTTTATTTTATATCACCCTAAGTATAATCTATCTTAGATTAATTGAAAATGCTACTAAACAATGTTATAATGTGCATGTGATGCAAACATTGGGATTATGCTTATGTTTTCTCACCCAAATAATTTTTGAAGCCACTCATTTCTTTGATTTGAATATTTCTTGCGCCAGCTGGGAGAAATCCAATAGGCTGGTAATGTCCTACATTCAAAGAGCAAGAAAATACTAAGACGTCCTGAGGAAATCAAAATGTTCGGCCTTATAGAAAGAGAAGTAAATTGTTAACCTTTCATTGGTTTAGGGAAGCCTTTGTATGTAAACCTTTTCCCAATGCAGGATGTTCCGTCGCCGTCGCACGCACCACAGCGATCGAATACTTTAGAAGATCCTAGAACTTTGTCGCATCCTAGGGTCTGGATCAGAAATAACACGTAACAATAATAAGAATTGATCAATTCTGGTTCTGATGAAAAGAACACATCCATCTTATTTAATTTAATTTTGTATGTGTAAGAAATACCATGTTCGCTCTTGCTAGGGCTAGCGTTCGAATGTCATCTTCTTCTCAACTGTCTCTTTTGAAGCTGCCCTTTCAATTATGAAGAAATACTACTTTTGGGTGTGGGTGGCTTTCAATTCAGTCTACAAAGCAAAACACGCTCTTGATTCTCTTTTTTTGGGAAAACCGCATTTCGTTCTAAATTTCGTCTAGCTTTAGGCCAGTGAGGACTCACTATGCTGCTAGCATTTCACAATGAATCAAACAGAGGTACAGTGAAAATAACACTGGTTTTCCAACTCTCACGTTCAGAATGATCTAGTTCTTTCGTTTCGCAAGTCACCTTGAGCAACACTGACTTCTGTAAAACGTTTACAATGCGGAGTCTGCGGAGACTTAACGTCATATCGCGTCCATGACCCTTACCTGGCATTTGCCGTTTATACAAAGACCGCTGTTCTCATCGTAGTCATCACAGCGTGTTCCGTCATCCACATACCCGAATGAAAACTTGGCAAACTGGCGGATGCCCACCTCAGCTATGCAATATAACTTACATTCCTGACCAGCTTTAATGTGATAAAAGTAGGAGAAACAAGGTTATTGACTTGCTTTGACTTTCTAGCCGTTCCTAGCCTACATAATTGATCATGAAGACATGTTTTTCATTTAACTTTTGAGTTTGCGGAAGATGTTATATTATTTCGGGATTTCAAAATGACAAACTGAGACCATGTAAACAGGTTGTAACGGTTTTAAGTTTTATTTAGCACTAAATGTCAAATTTTTGGCTTTTTATAGCTCACCACACAATTCCTGTTTGTAACTATAGATAACTGTTGATCTTGACTGCGCGTCCGCGTTTTTTTTTTTTTTTTGGGGGGGGGGGGGGGGTTTTTTTGTGATTTTTTAATGGGGTGGTGGTTAAGCTACCTAAATGCTTTTTCTACCAACTTCATTATGATAAATTTATTCACTGGAATAGTTGCTGTGCCTTACTCCAAACACCTCCCATACTTTGTGCCCTTAAATGTTAAATACCTAAGACAGGAAGCGCGGGGTTGTAACTCCACGGGTACTTGTTACCATCGACGAATCGAACGTGACGCTTCGCTTCACATTGGCTTTCTCTGGGAGTTTGTGTCCCGGCTGCACATTTCTAGAATAGCAAAATAAAATACAATTGAAATTTATTAGAATCTCCGCAATACTCATTGCAAGGTCGAGAGAAAAACAGACTAGGAAACTCCTCATGGCAAAAAAGGAGAAAAACAAAACAAAACAAAGACGGAGGTTAATTAGAATTAGGCTGCTGCATGTAAGGTTAAAACGACTACTGTTAAGCGATCAAATCAGGATTCATTATTATTAATAGTCAATGAAACGTATCCCATTGTCCGTGAGGTCCTTTTTTTGGTGTATGAGCACCGATGCATAATAAATTCTTCCTGCCCCTTAGCTAATGATCAAGGCAAGTCTCGCATGTTTCAACTTCTGAAGCGAAAGAGAACAGCTAGTACTATTTAGCTCAGTTTTCCAGCGAAGAATAAGTCATTTGTTTTAAACTAAGGATGTTTAAAGTAGGCATTACATACTTACAGGAGTGTGGCAGAACCGAAACTCTGCTGAATGGCCTTGACATAACTTTCCACCGTTTGCAGGCCTAAATCAAAAGAGACAATTGCAAACACTGTTATGGGTGCTCACATTGCAGACACTATTTTAAGTGCACTCATCATGACGAAATAATCTTAATTGTAGTGGATTTGGAACCTTTTACCGGCTGTAATTGCAGGAAAAACTTGAAAGCAAGTGACATATGTACACCAACTTGTACACCACATGTACACCACTTAACACATGCGCACGGCCATATCACCTGGGCAGTGGAAACCACAGACAGCTATTTCTTCACGGGAGTAAAGGGCCTCTGAAAACGGCTTTGACCGCACAAAGGTCCGACGGCTATGCCATGCTGATGAGCCCCAATAAGGAGGGAAACAGCTGTCCATGGGTGCCACCGCCCGGTTGATATGGCTATGCGCATGCTTGAGGTACTGGCAAGGCCGAAGGTTAATGTCACTTGCTCTTCTTAAGTTTCTAAATATAAATTAAAAGTATTTAGATTTCAATTTGACACACCCTATTACGTGATTTTTTCGCGTTTCACGCATTTTTTTGTTATTCAAATATAGGAAACATGATCTGGAAAAAACAGAACGATTTATCTTCCAAACAGATTGGCGCCAAATTTCTTTTTACGTATTTATTAACTTACCTTGGACTGTTACATTCCCTTTTTCTAGTTATCAGTCCCCCTCCACATGAATGAGAACACTGGCTCCAAGCTCCCCACGGTCCATAACCGCCGTCTACAGCTTCAGGCCCCTCGCTGCCATACGGCACGCACTGTCCGCGGCGACACCACTGGAGAGTGATAACAAATTAACGATTTTAAGGTGATGTTGCACGGGACTATTCGCAACGACGATTTTTAGCGCAAAACAGCGTTGCAATGTTGGAAAAATGTTGTAACAATTCTAAATAACGTGGCAACAATTGCGCTAAAAATCGTCGTTGCGAATCGTCTCGTGTAACATCAGCTTTAAAAGTGCAAATCACTTTATCACAAGCACCGCTTATCCGTCCTTTAACGTCTATGTTAAAATACCTTTCTCTTTTTTAAAATGTTCGTTGTGCTCAACTATGGCGCGAATTTAAAAGTTGAAGAAAAGGAGCAAAATGACGACTGACTCGTAAAAGAGAGACAAATGTCAACTGAGGGAGTGCAAGGCACGTATTTTGGAAGAATGCGTCTTTGTTTTTCATTATTGATTAATTTCAAGATCGATTGATCAGCTAGGCTACCGTCTGACTCACTGAGTTACTGACTTTGCCTAGTCCCTAGGCTTCATCATAACGTTTCGCTTTGATATAATGATACGTTTGATACAATGATTGGGGGACATTTGTTAGACATCTAGCTGTGACTTTGTCATTCACAAGTAATTTCTCAACTTCGTAGCGAATAAGAACGCGTAGTTGGTATGAAAAGGAAAATGAACTGACAGCCCTGACATAGTCTCTTTAAGTAACTGCCTGTTTAGCACGGGTTTCGAAAAATTATTTGTACCTTTTTATGACCACAGCTTGAGCCCTCAGCGCCAGGTTCATGATGTGTGGTGCACATTCTCGTTTCTGGGTTTACGCACCAAAGCTGAAGACATATTTTCTGGGAAAAGAAAATCAAAAACATGACTTTCGATTATCGGTAAAAGTTATACATCTAAATGTTTCTGATATCCATAAAAAGTAAACAAAAAAAGACGTGTTCTCTGTATTAAAGTAAAAATGATACTGGCTATAGAGACTGAAAAGGTTTTATTTTTTCTCCTTGCTCACCTCCTTTAAGAAGGGTGCTGGACAAGCGCGTGACTTGTCCCCAAAGGCCCGCGAACATTGATCATCAGCGGTATATATTTGACCTGGCAGGCGTTGCGGCATGGTAACAGACTTTTGTGGTTTGTCTTTTAAACACGCCGAATTATCACCACTGAGGAAAAATATCAAGAACAAACAAGCAAGTTAGGTCAAATTCTTGACCTGGATCTCTTTTTATAGTTGGTACAATATGAGACAACAATATCCTGACACCGTTAACCAGTATACAACTATCCCACGAATTAAGGGAAGATGAATAGTTAGGGATATATACCGAGACGTTAAGCGTCGAGGTATTTATCTAGCGTTGTTCACCGACCCTGAGGGGGATGGGATAGTTGTTTTAGTATTAACCAAGTCAATTGGATAAAAATGAAAAAAGTAACATTTTTGTAAATTAAAAACGTCACTTAGTAGGAAGTTTTTTTACAATTTACAAACATTTCGAGGATTTTGTCAAGTGCCTTTTTGCGATTTTGTTGCAAATTCAGCAAGAAAACTATTTTCTACCTACCGGTAAACACCGACAAGCTGAAGTTTCTCGCTTTCTTGGTATTTTTTGTACGACTGCTTGATTTATCGCTCAAATTTCGTCTTCTGATAATTTCTCGAAACGAGACGCAATCTTAGCGGCGGTCGTAAAACAGTAAATAGCCAAGGATATTCCGAGTTTACGGGAGCCAATCAAAACGCGCGAAAATTGCGATTAACTGATTTGGTAAATACTAAAAAGAAATACCTAGGCGTCTGTAACAAGGCCTCACAAGATTGGTTGGGTAAACACTGAAGGAATAAAGTTAACAACGCCCTGCGAGCAGAGCCTCCGTTTTTCTCTTTGAGTGAGGAGAAAAAAAAAACCGAGGCTCTCTCTGAATGACGTTGAGGCTTTGAAATTGCTGACGTTCGCACTTTTGGACAAGCTAATATTGTTCTTGATCGCCAAACTGGTTTTGCCAGCTGAGGTCGCTATGCCAAGCGCAGAGCTATTAGGCCTGGGTTCGAAACTGTATCCCGGCAACAAGCAGCACATGCTAGACCTTATTCGATATAGAGTAGTGTAGAAGCTGCTCGTATGGTCTGTCCTAATTGGTTGTAGGAAACAATGACATGTCATTCTTCCAATTGTTTTAGTATTATTTGGGGCCAGGGAAACCCAGCTACATGACCCTCTCGATTTAAGTAGAGTCCTTCTCGAGTACGAAAAAAGCAAGCACGTGAATGTAAGGCTCTGCTAGCAGGGTGAGTTAACATTGGTAGCTACATTGTAGCCCCAAAACAAAAGAACTACGATATGGGGGTCCAATAACTTTAGAGGTTTCAAAGAGATGCCAGGCTACTGGGAATACTTACGACAAAAATGTATGAATTGCTTGTCGACTACATAACGACCATTCAAAGGCTGTTTCTTTACCGCTGGCCTGTGTAGCCATAATATTCTTGTTGTTAGAGCATGAATTGCCGGCGCCATCATGCTGCGCACCAAGACTGTAAGACAACAATATAACAACGCAGCCCTTTTGTAACAGCGTACGCTATGATTGGTTTATAACAAAAGTCGCTTAAGATAACATAACAAAGGTTTATGACCCACAGTGAGACGGAAAACTCAGTGAGGGCCAGGGTGAAAATTAAGGAAACTAGATCGGGTCCTCTACCTGGACTGGTTTTAACAGTTTTACTTACTTGTGCCCTGTTTCATGTACAATGGTGTAAGCCGTTCCCAGTCCTCCATCCTTGCTTAGTGTGCAACTCCCTGTCAAGCTGCACATTCCTTGAACTTGCGCCAGACCTTTGTTTACAACAAGAGTAAAAAATAAATAAACTTTTAGTATTTCCTCCTTTTATAATCCACTACTTCTTAGTTAAATTTTGTTCTTTTAAGAAAAAGCATTAGCTGTACAGCAATACAACATCTATGATAAATAGCGCGATTAATCTTCAGTTGGTTAGTTATAAGTTTTCCTTGATCTTTGGATAGTCGGTAAGACGACCCTGAGCCATTTTGGTAGATACGTTTATTTTGCTATTAAAATACAAATATTTCTCACCTAAAACTTTTTCACAGCTTTGTCCCATTCTTTTATCCGTATTTCGACAAAAATCGTATCTAGAATAATAATAATAAAAAAAACCCTTGGCGGATGAGGATGTCCCATAAAGTCATTGCCAGCACAGAAATCTTAAAGAATTCAAATTAGCAATTGTACGGACCATGCGGTATATGAGAATTAAAATTGTTAGCTCCGAGAGACGCTGCGATGGCACATTGGTAAAACGGAATCAAAAACTCAACCTGGAACTTTCAAATGCGCGTGCGCACTTGCCTCGAATCCTCCTCAGGTGCATCGTTTTACACATGGCAGAGGCGACTGCGAAATGCAAGTGACTTTCGACAAAGCGCATATGATCATGTTTTCTCCTTCCTTCCTTCCTTCCTTTGCGCGCAAATTTTCATCTAAAAAGAGGCGTCTAGGTACGAGGGGGTGCGCGCACAATGCAAGATTTGACCTTTCACTCACAACGTGGACAAATTTAGTCGGGACCAAAACAGCTTGTTTAAGTCACATGAAATTCTGTAACGGACACCTGTTACAACCTGAATAAATGGAAAAACATTTATGCAGGCGAAATGGGGAGAAACATAGGCAACCGTTTCTGCGAACGTCTTAGAGTTTTGAAAAGAAATAACACCACATTTTCAATCTTCAAAATCGGTTAAGCAAAAACAACACGACAATCTGCCGTCTCTCCTTGCACCAAGTAAACACACGGACTACCGCGAAAATCTGCAGTAAAAGTTAATCATTCAAATCGTCACTCTTCCATTCAACTATATACACTAAACACAACTAACAACTTTGTTCTGATGAAGGGCAAGCCGTAGCAGTCGAAATGTCAGCTTTTGATTTATTTTTTCACGGTTCCTAACAGATCTGAGAAACATTGCAGATGCCACGCAGAAACAGAAAAAACATGCAAAGATGCAACAACTCTCCCGAAATTGTGCAGGAGCTCTATGAGGCTAACATTTCTCCACATTTAGTAGGGTGAGTGGGAGTTAATGGGACTTGGTTACTCAGGTCTCATTACATTTGCAGTGAAGCTTGAGAGACAGTGTAATACTACCGTAAATCCTTACCGTGAAATAAGAGCGGCATGATCAAAGTGATCTGGATTGCTGTCATCCACTGGATTTTGTCCCTTGGCCCAAAGGCAGAAGCTTTCCATGGTGTTACCGGCATGAGAGCTTATTACGAGTCCTTCCTACAAGTCAGAATTATAGTGATGGCTGTTAGCAAAGTTTCTTTTTAGTGAGATAAAAAAGTTCCCTTTAAACAACCTCATCCAGCATTCAGTGAAAAATGTCGCTATTATACGGACGATACCGGGAATGGGCAATGATCAGTTTCTTTTCAAATATTGTGCCAAGTGGCTGTTTTATTAAGTCATTGGAAAATGAATAATGAGATAATAAGTATTTACATCAAGGCAATCTATCGGCCCTGTTCGACTCAGTCAGGAATTGAGATGGACTAAGCCTTTATCAGTGGATCTCAACGCGACAGTGGAACAAGAGGCCAATTATGGCTATTTAATTCCATAGATATGTCTCCGTTGATGGACTTCTTAACCTTTCCTTCCTTCGAAGAAATAGACGGGCAGCTTATACTACACTGAAGTTCACATTCATTGAGACATAAATATAAAAAAGTAGAAAAAAAGGAAGCAGTTCGTTTAGAGCCATGTGAACCCTCCAGTTTTATCTACCACCTTGTTATGTGCTCCAAAATGACGTGGTATCTATGTGAACTCATGTAGCTACCCACGAGCGTTCTCTCCTTTTTTCTACCCCGTTTTTTCTATCCCAAAACTACAGTTTCCTCAGTAAGGAAAGACGAAATCAGCAAGCACATCAAAGCTTTATCGCGCATTATGAAACATGATTCTTCAGTCCTTTCCACATTTTATTACCCCTTTAACGTAAAACGGAAACATCGACAAAATATCCTTGGAGAATAACAGTCTTACCTGATCATGCTCAAGAATTAGCAGTTTGTGCAGGACGTACTTCACGTTTGCTCCAATAGAACTGTCACTCAAAAGATTATAGGCCTGAAGACAATTATCGTAATTAGAAACTAATGATACATATACTGTACTAGAGCGGTTTTCACTTGACTGTCGTAAAACCAAAACCAAAGTAAATACACTAGCCAACGAAAGGGCGTAGTAAAACCAAAACCAAACCAATTCCTCAATTACTTTCGACAGTCAAGTGAAAACCGCTCTAACAGTGACGGCAATTTAAAACAAATCATGTTCATCTGCTCCTAATATAGTTAATAACTTCTTATTGGAGTTAGTTTTCAGAAGGAGCTATTAATATCAAAATGGCAATATAACAAGGAAAAAAAGATGACATACCAAGACTTTCCCCAGTTACTTACGATATTGATGAGACTTGGGACATAAGTCTTGAGTTCCTCCACTCCATGAAAATCCGTCATTTTCTTATCCGCCACGACAAGTGTTTCTATTACGTAATCTTGTTGGTAATTTACTGGAGAAGGTAGATCAAATACTTCTCTCTTACTTCTGGCACTTTTCTTGTCTACAAAGACAAGCAACAAAAGTTTAAAATGCATCTTACGGGCTTACGCTAAAAGCTTAGTATACAGCTATTTTGAGAAAGGTTGACGGAATTAATGTGCATGCAACAGTCCCGAAAGATAATATGGGATATGATCAATACACTGTTCCCGTCCACTGTAGCTGTCGAACCTACCTTTGTTGCTTTCCTTTAACACTCGCAATTATACGTCCATGGCCTCTCGTGCCATTCTTTCAAATTTCTTTGAAGAACAGTAAACTCAAAACCACCCACAATACCTATCGGGATTGTCGCGTGCCCTCTTTCCGACAACCTTTCTCGAAATAGCTGTATGAATTGCATGAGACAGCTCTACGTCTCATCAGCTGGAATAAACAACTTGAGCGACGATGTCATTTTATATTACAAATTTCTATTCAATATCGACACAAACCTGGTCAATTTTAACTTCTTCATGTTTTGTGCATTTTGTATTGTTTAGTGTAGCGTCCGTTATGAACAGGCGTCAAGCAAAAGTTCAGTAACTAGTAGCCCGAAGGGTGCCGGAGTTGAAGGACTTATTTAAGGTTTATCTTCATAGTGGTGGGAAAGTTAGTTTCGTGGTTGACCTTATTGATGTGAAAAGGCAACGACGCTGTTTGTGGTCTTAATGTCTAGTTAGCTAAAACGAAAATACTATGCCCACATTTTTCTGTTTTGCTTATCCAACAGTGGCTTATTCCAGTAAATACGGTGAGGTATATATTAAGTAATTATGAGCAATGGAAGTATCTACACCAGCGATTCTCATAATATTCTCTTGATATCACTTGTTTAACAAAGGAAGTCTGCATATTTCCTCCTATTTTTGTACGACCAATTCACAACTGTTTTTATGCGATTTTTGTAACTTAAGCGTTACTTTGTATACCTACCTTCAACTCCACACCAGTTCTCCGATCTTTTCTCAACTCCGAGTTCCTCCTCAAGATCTTCCAACGATGACGTAGATCTCCTGTGGATCACGTGAGCGCGAGTTTTGTTTGATGCCAGAGCGAGTCGTTCAGGAAGGGGATATATGGCAAAAACATCATCTGGGGTACGAATCAAACCACGCTGTGAAAAAAGTATAATATGCCTGATAATCATGAAAAAACGGATTAAAAATTCCCCACCTCTGAAACTTTAGGGAATGGATACAAGATTTGGGTGCAGTAATTTCTAAGATAGTTTGGGTGAATAGGCATTAGTTATGATTGGTCCTTGCTACTCAAGGCAAATACAACAATCCCAGAAATCATTATCCACAAGCTTTTATCCATTCCCCTTGAAAGTTTCTGGAATTGGGAATTACATCGTTTTCTTTTATATTTCAGCGGGCATCATACCATATATATATCATGTGATCAGGTCATACTGCATTGCGTTACATTACTCTATTACTAACTCAGAACCCATTAACTCTCAGTTATGGTTTGGGTTTCATTAGACCGTTGTCTCTACAGTCTTAGACCATCCTAACCAAGCTCCACTTCCCTCCCAAGGGAAATATAACCGTTTGCGCGTAAGTTACAAGTTATTAAACTACAGACGTCACAATTTTCTATCTTACCAGTCCATCACAGTTGCTTAAGGCCACTTTAGTACCCAGTCCTTTGGAAGAAACGGCATGACCAGTGTAATGACAATGCTCAATTTCAAAATGGAAGCGCGAGCTTTGATTTCCACGAACCTCAATAACAAAATTGGGCGAGAGTAGCTCATCATTTAAAGTAACATTTAAGTGAAACTTCTGTCCAAAAGCTGATAGATGGAAAAAGACGGGTTCCTTGATACCAATTTCCACGCTTCGGCGCCTTCTATGATTACATATACAAAGACCGCTGTTCTCATCGTAGTCATCACAGCGTGTTCCGTCATCCACATACCCGAATGAAAACTTGGCAAACTGGCGGATGCCCACCTCAGCTATGCAATATAACTTACATTCCTGACCAGCTTAAATATGATAAAAGTAGGACAAACAAGGTTATTGACTTGCTTTGACTTTCTAGCCGTTCCTACCCTACATCGATCATGAAGACATGTTTTTCATTTAACTTTTGAGTTTGCGGAAGATGTTAGGTTATTTGGAGGTTTCAAAATGACAAACTCAGACCATGCAAACAGGTTGTAACGGTTTTAAGTTGTATTTAGCACTAAATGTAACATTTTTGGCTTTTTGTAGCTCACGACACAATTCCTGTTTGTAACTATTGATAACTGTTGATCTTGACTGCGCGTCCGCATTTTTGGGGGGGAGGGGGGTGGGGGAGAGGTAAGGGGGTGGCGTTAAAGCTACCTAAATGCTTTTTCTATCAGCTTCATTATGATAAATTATTTATCGGAATAGTTACTGTGCCTTACTCCAAACACCTCCCATACTCGGTGCCCTTAGCTGTTAAATACCTAATACAGGAAGCGCGGGGTTGTAACTCCATGGATACTTGTTACCATCGACGAACCGAACATGACGCTTTGCTTCACATTGGCTTTCTCTGGGAGTTCGTGTTCCGGCTCCACATTTCTAGAACAGCGAAATAAAATACAATTGAAATTTATTAGAATCTCCGCCATACTCATTGCAAGGTCGAGTGAGAAACAGACTAGCAAATTCCTCGTGGCAAAAAGAGAGAAAAACAAAACAAAGAAGCAAGTTAATTAGAATTAGGCTGCTACATGCAAGGTTAAAAGACCTTAAAAGGACTACTGTTAAGCGATCAAATCAGGATTCATTTAAAAGTCAATGAAATGTATCCCATTGTCCGTCAGGTCCTTTTTTGGTGTATGAGCACCGATGCATAATAAATTCTTCCGGTCCAGCCCTCTGAGCTAATGATCAAGGCAAGTCTCGCATGTTTCAATTTCTTAAGTGAGAGAGAACCGCTAGTACCATTTAACTCAGTTTTCAAGTGAATAATAAATCAGTGTTTTAAACTAAGAATGTTTAAAGTAGGCGTTACATACTTACAGGAGTGTGGCAATACCGAAACTCTGCTGAATGGCCTTGACATAATTTTCCACCGTTTGCAGGCCTAAAATCAAAAGAGACTATTGAAGACACTGTTATGGGTGCTCTCATACGTGACGAAGTAATCTTAATTGTAGTGGATTTTGAACCTTTTACCGGCTGTAACTGCAGGAAAAACTTGAAAGCAAGTGACACATGTACACCCACCAACCCACGGCCCGGCCGGTACCTAACACATGCACACGGCCATATCACCCAGTACACGGGGGGAAACAGCTGTCCAAGGGTGCCACTGCCCGGTTGATATGGCTGTGCGCATGCTTGAGGTACTAGCAAGGCCGAAGGTTAATGTCACTTGTAAATGTAAATTAAACTCCATGGGCTTCACATTTCAAATCCGCTGTATTTAGATTTTCAATTTGACATACCGGCCTATTACATGATTTTTTCGCGTTTCACGCTATTTTTTGTTATTCAAATAGAGGAAACATGATGTAGTAAAAAAGAAACGATTTATCTTCCATACAGATTGGCGCCAAATTTCTTACCTTGGACTGTCACATTCCCTTTTTCTAGTTATCAGTCCCCCTCCACACGAATGAGAACACTGAGTCCAAGCTCCCCACGGTCCAAAGCCACCGTCTACGGCTTCAGGCCCCTCGCTGCCATACGGCACGCACTGTCCGCGGCGACACCACTGGAGAATGATAACAAATTTAGAACACTTTTAAGGTGATGTTACACGGGAGGATTCACAACGACGATATTTAGCGCAACAGCGTTGCAATGTTGGAAAAATAATGTAACAATTCGAAACAACGTCGCAACAATGTTGAAACGCTGTATTGCGCTAAAAAACGTCGTTTCGAATCGTCTCGTGTAACATCAGCTTTAAAAGTGCAAATCACTTTATCATAAGCACCACTGAATCTTAAATGTTTGTTGTGCTCAACTATGGCGCGAATTTAAAAGTTGAAGAAAAGGAGTAAAAAGACGACTGACTCGTAAAAGAGAAACAAGTGTCGACCAAGGGAGTGCAATATACGTATCTTGAAAGAATGAGTAATTGATTTTCATCATTGATTAATTTCAAGATCAATTGATTAGCTGAGCGACCGTCTGACTCACTGACTTACTGACTTTGCCTAGTCCCTAGGCTTCATCATTGCGCGTGGCCGATGTGTTTCGGTCACGTGGTCTGAGCGAGGGCTTTCGTCTCAGATACGTCCCCGAAATGCAGTGACCGAGAAGGCCTGGAAAGACGCAGTACAGGGACTGGGCAATTACTGACTCAGTAAGTCAGTCACTGACTGGTTAGATGACCGAATGAAGGATTAATTGGGTACTGCCACCATAATAAGTGAAACATAGAAATTACCGTTCAAAACGTTAAAAGAAGGTATAAATATCTCGGCGAGTACAAAGGGAGGAACGGATGACCAAACTTGAAGAAGATTGAAACGGATTGCAATTTTGGTTTTTGAAAACTTGTTTGCCTAAAGGCTTTTTAAAGTTTATTTCTGTTGTTTGTAACGTTTGATATAATGATTGGGAGACATTTGCAAGACACCTAGCTGTGACTTTGTCATTCACAAGTAATTTCTCAACTTCTGTAGCGATAAGAACGCGTAGTTGGCATGAAAAGGAAAATGAACTGACAGCCCTGACATAGTCTCTTTAAGTAATTGCCTGTTTAGCACGGGTTTTAGAGAAATTATTTGTACCTTTTTATGACCACAGCTTGAGCCCTCAGCGCCGGGTTCATGATGTGTGGTGCACATTCCCGTTTCTGGGTTTACACACCAAAGCTGAAGACATATTTTCTGGAAAAAGAAAATCAAAAACATGATTTTCGAGTATCAGTAAAAAGTGTTTCTGATATCCATGAAAGGTAAATAAAGTTAAAA